AATTAGTACATAGATAGTACTGTAAAATGTATAAATAAAATGTAAAATATAGGCAGGGTCCTGATAGAAGGTCCTGTGAACTTAAAAATTGAACTAATAAAATAGCTGCCAAATGCGGCCCACTAGTGACCAGGCAGTGGGAATTCAAAAAAAAAAAAAATATTATTATTAAATATAAAAATTAAATTATTAAAAACTAGTAAAACATACAAGTGTAATATTACATAATTTTGTGTAACATTAACTATTTCAACAACTACTGCATAGAATTCATAGTTTTTTTTTATTTAAAAGCCTTAGATTTAGGCAATTTTTTATATAATTTTAAACTTAATATCTTGCTTATTTAGTTTAATATAAATTTTTAAAAAGTGTCCACACTTATATGATAGGCCACTGTATATAATATTAAAGATAGAACTAATGAATTTCAATAGCAAAAACTGTTAATGTTACATATATATTGAAACTAGTAAAGGATTATATCCATAACAATTGATTTGTGCTTGATCACAGGCAAGAAGGATTCACTTTAAATCAGGCATTATAGTGAATTTCAAGTTTATAATTATATAAACTAGGCCAAAAAAATAAAAATTCATATAAAATTATACAATGATAATTACTTATTTTAACTTTAGAATTCTAAAATAATTATAACAATCTGATTTTTTTAAAATAAATTTTATCATTATATGAATTTTTTTTTCTTTAAAATATTTATTTTCTTTGGATTCTATGATTATTTTTCCCATTCCCTGATCATATTTATATCTAAAAATCCTTTCAAATAAAGTTCCAAAGATTTTATATTAAAAAAAAAACCTCAAACTAATAAGATAGCTGTGTGGCACAGTTACGCTAAAAACTGGAAATGAAAGCAAATATAATAAATAGGTAACAAATAGTTCAAGTAACATACAAACAAGAACTGATATAGCATCCCATTAATATATTGCAAAGCATTTAATAGACACTATAGGTAATCGACTCACATTAGCTAATCAAACAAAAGTTTACAAGGCATTATATAATAAATCTTTGACAATGAAAAATCCTACGAAAAAAAACAAAAAATGCCAAATATCAGGTAAATATACACTGGGTTACCAATTTTTGTGTCTCAACTACGGCATCGCTTACGTTTTCGTTTTTTTTGTGATTACATATCTGAATGCATGTGCATATCCATTGATCTCATGATAAATTCATGTAAATAAGTCACACAGACCAATCAAACTTAAGATTTGTAGATGGATACCACTTATTTCGTGATTTTATCACTCTGATTAACCTCCTACAAGATTTTTTCCAGCATGTGATTCTAGCCAATTAGATTGAAGGATCAGGTGTAATGTGAAAATCACGTCTTTTTAAAAATCACCATTAACTCAAAATTTTTACCTATGAAACTGCCTTTTGTGTTCTAATAAAAAAAATTCCTTGTGAAATTTTAGTACAAGCTATGTTCTTTCTCATCTCTTATTCCAACATTAAGATGAGGCTTCTTATTTTAAAATCTTTCGCTTAATTCGATTGTTTTGATTTTACATTACACCTGATCCTCCATTCCCTGGTATAGCAATAGTGATATATGTGTTCGTGTAACTTTTCTGCAGAATTATTTCTTATGGGCGATTTTTTATTAACACTAAACTAGAACCTTTTCTTATTAAAAATCGTAAATGGGACTTTAAAAACTATGAGAGTAATAAGTATAACATTCTTTATCAGTGGTTTTGTCAAAATTCGTATGCTACTAGGACTTGGAATTCCTAGATCATTGAGTTCTACATTCACAGGAGGGATTGTTAATTTATCTCCAAGAAATAACAAAATAGATTCAGTGTTTAAAACTTATGATCGAGTAGGGTTGCTTTATTGAGAAAAGGCATTGAGGAATGGTTGGATAATATAATTACTAATTGTGTATTTTTTTTTCTGGCAGATCTAAAAATAAGCGATTGTTTTTTGCTTGTAGGTGGGTTATGATATTTTTTTGCTTATATATTATTTTTTTTACCCGACCGTAATTTATTTTTAAAGTAATATGTTATTTCATTTAAATGGAGACTATGAAAATAAATTATTACATACTACAGTATTATTTTTTTATTTAGGAATGTAAATTTAGCACTAACAATAGCATCGTCCCCAAGACCAATGATACTACCCCAAGAGTAACGATAGTAATGATACTACCTTCAAGGATAACAATAGTAACGATACTATCCCAAGACCAACTATCCTAATAGCCCAACATCATCTAAACCCAAAACTGTGAAAATTACTCGAACTGGTAAGAAAACTTATACGTATTATATAATTAGATTTTGGTTATGCCACTTGCCAATTCGCTTAGTTCATTGTTGAGGATAAAATATATAAAAAAAAATAGTTATTAATCTTGATATGAGTATGTACAAGTGGATAACGCTAAAGTAATATTTTATTTTATTTTCAATCCACTTATCTCCTTTACCAGGTTTTAAGTGTAGAAAATGTTATTACCAATCGAAGCAGGGCCAAACTTATTTATTGCATGAAACACAAAACTTAAAGGAGATGGTCATACTTTTAGACAAAATGGATAAAACTGCACAATATGATGGACCCAAAACTCCTAATTCTAACTTCAAAGTTCAAATCGGTATATTTAAAACGTCGTAAATGAAAAAAAATAATTCATATTGTAGCTTTGTAATTTACTTTTGTATAAATAAACAATACCTATCAGAATAAATATTTTAAAATTATCGCAATGACAATGAATATGAAAGATTGAATGCCATTACGTTAATTAACCCTAATTGCTGATTTCGCATCCACAATCGCATAAAATAAAAAATAGTGGTCACCGACCCCTTCTTTATTAAATAAAAAATTGTTGCCGGAACAACATTATGCAAACAAAAATTATATTCATTTTTTGCCTAGCATTTTTGAAGTTTAATATTATCTAACAATGAACTGTCATTAGATTTTGTTCTCAAAGTTACAGTATCAATTGTCTTTTTTCCATCTTGTATTTCTTCATACTTTCCTAAATTAACTTCTCTGTTAAATGACCTCTTATCTTTTATATTGGTGACATTATTCAGTCTGCTTGGTCCATATAATGTTTCTCCAAAAAAAAGTTCATATTTAAACCTTTTGTTATTAATAATTTGGTGGCTGGGAAAATAACAATAGAAATCGCCTTTTTTTGTAGACCTCTTTCATGTATAGTATAATTCCTTCCCAAAATGAGGTGACTTTTTTTCTCTACGTATTTATGAAAATTATTTTAGAAAATTAATTAATAGAATATAATCAAAACTTTATAAATACTATAATTTTCAGAATTTGCTTAAGTGTCTAATAAAATTTGCCGAGGATATAAACTTGAAAAAGAGGTGAGTTGTTTGTCTATTAAACGCTACTACACCTCAGTGAAGAAATATTTAAAGACAACAAAGCCCTCCAATTCGAAAAAAAGTTCTATAACCTATTAAATGCACTACACCTCAGTGAAGAAATATTTAAAGGTTTGTAAACTTATTTCATTTACCTAATCTATTAATTGCTACTACACCTCAGCGAAAAAAATATTAAGAATCCAACAAAAGCAATTTCAAAAAGTCTAAGAAGCTTTTGTCTAGCCAGTTAAACGCTACTACACCTCAGTGAAGAAATATTTAAAGGCTCAACAATATCACAGACTTTTGCAGTTTCATCATAGATATAATAGGTACTAGGTGTACGTATAAATATATTATTCATACCATATACTTGTATTTGTATGAATCGAATAAAAATTTGTCAGATGAGCTTATTTCTTTTTTTTCAAGGTTATTTATTATTATTTTGGTGTTACACACCTGGTGATCACACCAAATTTAGGTTAGGGTGCTTATTTTAGAAAAAGCCCACACAAATAAGTTATTGTTTGGAGCCTTACGTTGATAACCAAAATTACGTTCTTGATATTTTTAACTAAAAATATCAATAACATAGTTCCTAAAAACCAAATTTTACATGTTCGTCTGATATCATAGGCAGAAATTCGTCTGATTGGCTAATGTAAATCAATTGCCCGGGTAACTTATTTATGTGTTTTAGAGTAC